AAAAAAAAAAAAAAGAGTTCGTTCTCTTATTCTACTCAATTATAGACTGTGGGCTGAGAAGTTTATTTTTGAAATATGATACTTCCTATTTTCTCTTCTGAAATATACAGAAGTTTTGATTTTTGAATGTTAATGAATATTTTAAATTCTTCTATGTGAAAGAATTTTTCTTAATTAAAATTTTATTGTTTAGAAAAACTAAGACGCAGTCTTCCAAACCTGTCCCGAACATCTAATACACAAATTGACTCAGTGAAAAGCAGCAGAAGTGACTCAAATTTCCAAGTGCCAAATGGAGGAATACCTCGCATGCAACCTCAGGCTTCAGCCAGTAAGTATCTTTCTTAGGTTTTTATGTATCAGTTATGAAATGGAAGATGAAAATTATAGATAATTTATGTTGAATAGCTATATTAAGCTTAGCTATAGTAAAATTTAGTGTTTATTGGTATAAGATCGTAGTTATATTAAAATTTAAAATTTGTCCCTACAAGATAACTAATTCCATTAATGTTTTTATTTGTATGAAACTCCAGTCTCTCCAGAATTTTAAAATAACCAGACCGTAGGTATTTAAAAAATAAAAGATAGGTTTAACTTTTGCTTTTAGAAATTAAAAGTAGAAATAGTAGCTAATATAGTTTCCAAAATATATATCCCTTAGTAGGTACTTAAATTTTCTTTAACAACCGTCATTTTTTAAATATCTAAGTTATTTTCTTATTACATATTTTTTTAGAGCACTTTGTGCTCCAGATAAGCAATTCATTATTCAGACTTGTGTTAAGTCTATTATTGACATCGGGTTTTTTATAGTTCCTTCTTTCCAGAACGAAAGTATATCATGAGAACACTTATGAAATTTTTGGTTTTTGTTTGATTGATTTTTCTGTGTCTGCTAAAGATATTTTTATGAAAAAAAAATATATTAGGCTTGGTGCCTGTGGCTCAAGTGGCTAGGGCGCCAGCTACATACACCTAAGGTGGCAAGTTCGAATCCAGCCTGGGCCCGCCAAATAACAATGATGGCTGCAACCAAAAAATAGCCGGGCGTTGTGGCGGGTGCCTGTGGTCCCAGCTACTTAGGAGGCTGAGGCAGGAGACTTGCTTGAGCCCAGGAGTTGGAGGTTGCTATGAGCTGTGATGCCACAGCACTCTACCCAGGGTGACAGCTTGAGGCTCTGTCTCAAAAAAAAAAAAAAAAGAAAAAATATATTAAATCAGTATGCGTGCCAAATTAACCCAAGATCCTAATTCTGCTTATAGCATAGATTAAAATTTGAGATACTAAATTGCCAGAAACCCATTATTTTTTAATAATTCATCAGGATTTCTCTATTTAAATTTCTTTTGGAAAATACTAGAGTTAAAACTAAACTTTTAAGCAGGGAAGCTGAGTTTGGGAATTATCAAAGAAGAAAACCCATGGTTATAGATTATGATTTTTCTGATAAGGTTTGATGATTAAACGAATAGTAACTATGAATGTGACAAATCTTTCTAAATGGAGGAAATTTTTAAAATTAAATTATTTCTAATGAATATTTGAGTCTTTATTTTCTAACAAACATGCTCATGCTAAGTATGCTAAATAAACATAACTCATTTCTGCTGTAGCAGAAACCTCACATTCCTTAAAAACCTCACATTCTGCAGTATTACACCTTAAAAATGAGAGGATTTGTAGGGGTAGGGAAAATAATACTGGAATAGATCACTGAAAACCCAAGCAGCTTTCTTATGGAGCATTGGTAAAAACAATAATGATCTTTTAAAAATACTAACATTGGCTCGGCGCCTATAGCTCAACTGGCTAAGGCACCAGCCACGTACACCTAAGGTGGCGGGTTCTAATCCCCAGCCTGGACCCGCCAAACAACAATGACGGCTGCAACCAAAAAATAGCCGGGCGTTGTGGCGGGCGCCTATAGTCCCAGCTACTTAGGAGGCAGAGGCAGGAGACTCGCTTGAGCCCAGGAGTTGGAGGTTGCTGTGAGCTGTAATGCCACGGGCCCTCTACCCAGGGGGACAGCTTGAGGCTCTGTCTAAAAAAAAAAAAATACTAACATTGTTAAAAGGATGTTAAATCCTTAAAAAATAAAATAAAATTCTCTAGCATATATAGGACTTCATTTTTTTACAAAGAGTTAAAGGTGATGTGATGGAAAGGAAGGGTTGAGACCGTTGAGTTAAGGAGACACGCAACATAAACAAAGAGGAGAAAGAATCATGCAGTGAGGACTTCTAAGGCAGACTGGTCAAACTAAGCCAAGAAGTGATAATGGGAATAAATGGGCATGTATTTTTGTTAAAAAAGAACCCTTTTGGGTGGCACCTGTGGCTCAGTGAGTAGGGCTTCATATACTGAGGGTGGTGGGTTTGAACCCAGCCCCGGCCAAACTGCAACAACAACAAAAAAAATAGCCAGGTGTTGTGGTGGGCACCTATAGTCCCAGCTACATGGGAGGCAGAGGAAAGAGAATGTCCTAAGCCCAGGAGTTGGAGGTTGCTGTGAGCTATGATGCTACAGCACTCCACTGAGGGTGATAAAGTGAAACTCTGTCTCTAAAAATAAAAAAAAGAAGAAAGCTTTCCAGAAATTAAGGCTTATTAACTAGGACAGATATTTGCATAGCCAAAACAATTTTGAGTTATCATGGTTATTTCTATGACCTGTAAATATTCAGTATGCATCACTTATATCCCACAGCTCTTACCAGTCTTGTGTGTGAGCTGTGAGACACAGGGAGGCCCATTCACTCAGGCCCTTGTAGGGACACAGGGAGGCCCATTCACTCAGGCCCTTGCTGTGTTACCATCAGTGAGGTTGAAGTGAGAGCCATGATGTGTTCCTGCATTTTCTCAAGACTGTGAGAAGTAGTGATACCAATAGGGGATTATTGACTGTTCATCTATAATTTCTTTACTGAGTAATTAAAATGTTGAAGATACTGAGTTCTTTAATTCTTTTACAGTCTTCCTTTGCTCTTTTGTGTTTAGCCAACTTAATATACTTTATGTAAAGATGGTGTTAATGGTGGGTCAAAAATCAACAGGCTAGGAAAAAACACATTGGAATCAAAATAATTTCTGTGCTATAGTGACAGTTTTTTCTTATTTACCAATTGTATATGGTGATATTTATATTACAGAAATTCACATTATGTAATTAATGCATAATCCTGTTTTCACAAAACAGTGCTGTGAAAGGAGGTATAGTTATGAACACATTTTACAGATTACAAAGTAAAGCTTTAAGTCAGTGGTTCTCAACCTTCCTAATGCCACGGCCCTTTAATATAGCAAGTTAGAATTAAAACCCATGTTGAAAGAGCTCGAGAACCCAAGTTCATCTAGAGAGATTTGTCATATCTATGGTTTTGTACCAAAGTATAAAAATTATTCTGGAATATAATTTCTATTTTTCCTGAGATCTAAAACTCTAAAGCACGGTGGAAAATTAAACCTAAGGATTTTGATGCTACATTTATTGAGCTTGATCTATATGAGAACACGTTCTTATACCAAATTGAACTTTAAACTGAGTATTCCGGTGGTTGTGTGATTGATACTAAACTCTGTAAGAGTGCCAGTATAATACTTATTATGATAGTCGTAAATGGTATGTAGACCAGGAGTTCACAAAACTTTAAAAATGAAGGTAGGAGTAGAATTTCAACTCTGTTACACCTGAAACATTGAGTGATAGGTTTTGTGCCTTTAAAACCAGCAAATTAAGTTAATGTGATACTTGAGAATATCCTCTTTCTGGGTTGTTTTCCCCAATATACTTGACTGATAAGAAGAACACCCACAATATTAATGCAGCAAGAAAGAAGAGTTTTACATCATTAAGAAGATTAAGTAATAAAACTCACATATATTATAAGCCATGATTTTATAGCATTTGTGCTTGGCTTTCAAAGATGCTTTTAATTTTAGTTGGAATTGTTAAGTTCTCTATCTCTCCACTTTACATGGTAAATCTCCAAACAGTTTCCCAACTATTCATTAAAACCAGCTATAAACCTTTTTATCTCATCCCCTCATACATACTGTTCATTTGAACTAGTTTAGCATGTCAGAGCTTTATGGAAATGAAAAGTAATTCTTCACAAAATAAGAAGAAAAATGAAAAAGTTGGAAACCTAGGATAAAAATGTTAATAGAAAGATGTATTGGCTGTATCTTAAACTTTATTATAATTATCTTCTCTAGTGCTAAAATTACCATTGTATAATTATAATCACTTACCTTAGAATTTTTTTCTAAGTGTAAGTGAATTATTTTTCCTTTTTCCCCAGTTGATAATTAAGGAAAACAAATAAGGAAAATAAAACCGAATCTAATCACTAATTTACATTTAAGCAGAAAATATGTATGCAGTTTCACAGTGATGTATTTCAGTATTTGAATAATGTCCAGGCAGAAAAGCAGTAAGGTACCATCCTCCTTTTCAATTGTATATATTTGTTTGTTTCTATCTGTATTAAAGCTTCTTTACAATTAAAATGTCACAAATTATTTTGTGGAATTAGACTAGTCTCAAAAATGTATTTGGAAAGTAGCAAATTCTGACGTTAACAAGTTTAAAATGTAATAATCTACTTTGTAAAAATATTTAAAGCTTTTGGTTGAAAGTTAATATATCACAAAGCAAAAAATGTTATTGATTTTTCTTGAAATTTTAAGCATATCTTTGATGTATAAATATATGTTTTATTCATTTTAATTAGTATAGTTTTCACAGTAGCCCTTTTATTTTGATGTGTAATTGTGTACAAATATTATAGCAAGTTTTATACATGAATTGGTATTTTGTATTTTTTGTGTAAACTTCAGTCTTTAGTGTAATAGATGTTGCATTTTGTTTTCTTTTAAGCGTTTATTTTTTCAGCTCTTTAGTGGTAAAGCTTTGGTTCTTCCTTGCTGGTCTGCATGAACCTAACTTTGCAAGGCTGCTCTTCCTCCACCGAGGGGATCACTTCTCTTGCCTTGTTACTGTGCCAATCACTAGTTTATATGCTTACTTGCTGTGGCTGCTGCATTCAAATATGAGTATCACGAGAATTAGAACACTTTCATTTTTATAGCCGTTACCAATTTTGGACATTTATATTTGGAAAATGTAACTTAAAAAGTTTAAGAAAACCAGAGCATTGCAGAGGTCATGGATACATGGAATTTTTTCAGTTTCTTCAGTTAAAGGAAGGGATATTTGTCAGGGGCAGCCTTTTTTAAAGGCTTATATTCTGTTTTCTAAGACTACTAGACAACAGATCTAGGAAAAAGTTTAGTTTTCAGAGAAATATAGGAAGTACTGGCTCAGAA